TAGTTCGTTCCAAAAATCAAGACTAAAAACTCCCCACTTAGCAATTATGTGTTTTCCCTTTTTCTTACCGGGTAAGGAAATAAATGTTGCGTTTAAGCATGTTAAGGGCTAAAAGAGGAAAAAGGAAAACAACAACAACAAAAGAGAGAAAGTCAGCCAGAAAAATTAGAGATAGACGACTCACTTTGAAAATTTTATCGACGTCTTGCTGGACTGAACCATGGATAGAAGTGCCAAGCCTGCCCCTATCATCTCTTAGTTTGCGTAGCTCATCATCTACGACACAACGAATATCTCTCCAAAATTCACCATGACGATCGCCATCAAACGAACGATATATCTGTAAATAATAAAGTTCTCGGAAACCAAAGAGAAATGGATTGAAAACAAAAAAGTGGTTATTCTTGAAAATTTGGAGAACCGAGTGAAATTTAATTGCTCTTGAATGCTTACCTTGATATCCTCGACCAGATCTTCATAATCATCTTGGGTCAAACCTTTGAGGTACTCAAGTGGATTCTCAAGTTCAAATTCATCGTCGTGCTTTTCCTCTCTATCGTCTTCTTTCTTCTCGTCCCCAAATTGAATGTACCTAGAATAAATAGTTAATAACACATTGAAATGATAGACACAGTACAGTAACCCTCAGCAAGATTTTCGGGGAAAGAATCGGGCCGCGAAACCTGTTTCTAATTATACTACCGTATCTACTTCAAGGCTCAAATCAACGAGAGCTTTTACAAGCTCAAAAACAGATTGTCTCTGAGCAAAGAACATATTAACTAGAACTACAAACAGACGAACATTCCCTAAAGGACTCAGGCGCATATAAACGACTGTTTTTTTCTATTTTCACATTGTAAAAGTAATTTGCTTAGAAACAGAAAATCTTCGGATGAACTAGACAACTTGGAAAAGCAAGATCTCAATGAGAGATTTCTCTCACTGTTAGGGTAAAAACTGACCTTGAAAGTAAATCGATGGGCTTAGCTCGATTTTGCTCGATGCGAATGCGAGACCGAACCTGAAAACGTATTATGGCTCCTCAAGATAAGGATGTAAAGACAAAAGAATACAAAAAAGTACTGCTTTGTAAGTAACAGTATGAGTACCGCAGCTTCGAAACAGTTCTTATGTATACCTTGGCCTGTTGCAGTTGGAACTCGGCTTCTTTGCTGGACCACTCGGCATGAGCTTTCCGATCAGCATCACGTTGCATCATCTCCATATCTTCACGAGCGGCCAGGCGAGCATCACGAGCACGCTTCAACTCCTCCATTTCGCGCAGGTTTTTCTCCACTCGACGACGCATCCTATAAAAGTTAATGAAGGTAAAGTAAAAGTAGAAATCTTATCAAACAGATGATTAAGCAAACTGAACAATCAACAAAAAGAAACATTGAAAGTTATGTTTCTTACTCCTTCTCTATTTCCTTTCGCGAAAGCCCAGCTTTGCCTTCTCGCTCCAGTTTTTTACTCCATACAAACGTCTCGGTAAGATTTACATCGTTGAATGGATTGTTAAGATTCGTGTAAGCTAACTGAGCCGGCAAATAACTCTTGTTCTCCTTCTTCTTTTTCTCCTCCTAGAAAACATTCAGAAAGGCTTGAAAGAATAAGACAATGTCTAGAAGGATGGATCGTCTAAAAGGAGTTTACTAGCAGACCTTTTTGAGTTTCTTTGCCAAACGCCGCGCTCGTTTTTCCTCAGGGGTTTCTTTTGCCTTCAATTTCTCCTTTTCTAGCTTTCGTAAACGTTTCTTTTCTGCACGCTGCTCATCAAGAACTGTCTAAAAAAGATTATTGAACATGAAAGAATAGTCATGAACAAGGCCATAGCGCTCTTACTGCAGAGCAAAATCAAAGAAAATTATAATGAGCTCATTGGTTGCGAGTAAAAACTGAACCTACCTGAAACCTAGAATCACCTTTATCCGACTCACTGCTCGCGGATGAAGAACTGGATCGTGCATGCTTTTTTGATTTCCTATGTGAGTGCTTTTCCCTACTTCTTGACCGTTTATGCTCTTTCTTTGATTTCTTTTTATCATGTGTCATACCTCTGAAAGCTGACTTTACTGACAGGAAACTGTGTGAAACTAAGCACAAATGTGACAATTGTCCCGTAGAATAGAATCAAAAGACCGAGCGAAGAAAAGGAAAAAACTGTGGATGGATGGCGATAATAAAGTGATGCTGAGCAAAAGTCAAGACATTCGAAACTGCCAAAATTGAACTTAAAATGCTCCCAACAGCAAATATGCACTACATGTTGGACAGATTCCCAGGAGTTCTCAAAAAAATACTAAAAAGTGGAAGGGAATAGCCCCCCATCCAATTCGAAAATGGGAAAGGAGGAAAGTTGGAAAAAAGTTTTGACTACGACAATGCAAGCAACGAGCCTTCGTCATTCGTATTGGCCGTAGCTAGTAATGTCGTCGCAATAATTTGCCTGAGGGAAAACTTTCAGTTACTTGTTAGAGGCTTATCCTTGTGGATGATTAGGGTTTCCTATAGGTCACTTTGTGGCGAAAGATTTT